TTTAATAGAAATGTTTCTTCTGCGCGTCCATGCCGGTTTCAGTTGGATTATTTGTCACAGTTGCTCCGATCAGATCGGTCTCCTCCATTTTGTAGATTATTTACGACTTTTGAATCCACATAAACACATCGGCAAAATCCGGCTTACTTTGAGCATGAGTTTTAAACAGTTTAATCCCTTTGTGAATTGTTTCCACTTCTGCGCCGTCCTTTAATTTCTTCATACAGCGGGAATCCAAATGAATTAATCCTGAGTCCAATAACCATCAAAGTCACTCCAATAGTGCTCCTTAGTTACACTTTCATTCTCCTTTAACTAAATACTTCACATTCATCCAGTTTGTGACAGAAGTTGTAGCATTTTGAGACTTTGGGGGGGCGCAACTTCCAACACGAGTCATTTGGGGGGGCTCTTGGGAAAAAAGGTTGGGAACCACTGGTCTAGTGCAATATCCAAATTGCAATATTTGGTAAAGATATCATTTTAAATGTATTAATTTCCGGCCTAAAATGGATTTACAGTATAAAGAAACTCCTTGTTTGGCACAGATCCGTTTAATAAAATCACATCATGATGATTTTCTCATATTTTCTATCATAATGTGAATAACATATTAAAAAGAATTCCCTATATTGTCGCAAATCATATCCCTAATGCAATATCAGTCAAATCCAAATTGTGGAGCCCATATCATGACGACCCATTCAATTCAAGTTAAAGATGGTTGCCGAGGAGTCTTTCGTACTAAAACAAACTAAGATTTAATATTTTCTCCTGTTACGTTGCTTAAAATCCGAACGCTTTTTTCACATCGCAACATTTAATATCTATGCCCTTTCTTACAAACTACTGCATTTCACACTCCCATTACTGTATATATATATATGTGTGTGTGTGTGTGTGTCAGTGCATATAAATCAGATGCAGATTCCAAATACTTTGCATGATTTGACCCACAGTACAAGAGTAAGATCAGCGATGAGATGGACCTGAAGAGGAGGATCCAGTCTCTGGAGGAATCCATGGAGCTGCACGAGAGGATGAAGAGGCAGGCCCTCGCCGAGTTCGAGAGCTACCGTCAGAGGGTGGAGGACATGCAGATCTGCACCGAGGCCCAGGTGTGTGTGCGGGTCTCTCTCTCTCTCTCTCTCTCTCTCTCTCTCTCTCTCTCTCTCTCTCTCTCTCTCTCTCTCTCTCTGTGTGTGTGTGTGCGCCCAGCATGAGGCTACAGATGTCACAGCTGCAGGTAATCTGTACTGATGTCTGTTTCTGTCTCCTGTTGTGAGCTTAAAGAGTTTGTCCTTCCTGTCTGCATCACCACTCCGTGCGTGTGGCGTGCGTTGGACATTTAACTTGTTGCGCAGGAGCAGAAGTATTCAGTGTTTCTTTTTAGACAGAGGTTTGAAACCCTTTTGTTTACATTTATCCCACAAAATGCACCTCAGACGGCCAGTTCTCAAATATATTTAAAATCTGCTTCGCCTCCAGCACAATGCTAATCTTTTTACAGATCTAGATACAAATATTTTTCATTTTTCTAGCTTTCTTTGTTTGCAAAGTCCTATAGAATTGAATGGAAATATTATTCGTATGCATATATTACTTGCTTCACTTTTTTCCAATCCCAGTCTGTCACCTCAAAGTGCTTTACAGGCATACACATTTCGAAAGTAAAACATTTGGAAATTCTTAGGGAATGGGTAGTATATGTTCAGGTTACTGTATGAAGTGTGTTTGTAACTGAGAGGACAGAGAGGATATCTGCAGGATGCATTTTCAAATTGTGGTGTTTTTGTTGTCTTTTCCAACAAAACTGCAAACCCTTGGGAGCCACTTCAATTACAATCTGCTGCTATTGAAGTGCTGTTATTGAATTTATGCTCAATGCCGCCCAAAATAAACTGCCTCCTCCAGCTTTATCTTTGCTAACAATAGCAACAATACTGATTTGAACTCCCACTGATGGGGACACAACCATAAAGGAAATTGACTGAGAAACAAACTCACATTGTTCCCTGGTATCGTATAATTGAACACATTAGCCGCGTTCACACCGGAGTACTTNCCACTTTAGTTCCGATATAGTTCCAAAATGTCGCGTTCACACCAAAAAGAGCCAGAACTAAAATGAGTTAATGAGAACCTTTTTATCCCCTTTTCCGTCCCTGCTAGAGAGCAGGGACTCTCATGCGGCTCTCTTGTGAGAAAAGAGCTATATTTCTGATTGGCTGGGCGGATTGCAAACCATGCCCCGTAAAACTAAAAAAAAGTGTTGTGAAGCCACCATTTTATTATCCTCGCATTAGCATTATTAGCATTAGCATTAGCCCAGCGCAGAAACGCAGAGAGACTAACTTATGTCAACACAAAATAAAACATGGGAGCGGTGGAGATGAGGA